TCTTAAACCCATCTCTCTGTGCCATGACACCTGGTACAAGTGTTACACAAACTGATAATATATAATATTAACCAGAGATACTGTGATGCTAAAAATGTGAATTCAGTTGGTTGTTTTCCCCACAGGTGCTGACAGTGTGTCCTCAGTGAGATCGGTGACTGCACAGAGAGGAGGATCTGTCACCATCCCATGTCCTTATGATGGCAGATATGAATCTCATGTGAAATACTGGTGCAGAGGGAGTGTCTGGGGTTCATGTACAACCATAGTACGCACTGACTTTCCACAGAAGAAGGGTGAAGTGTCAATCAGAGATGATCCTGACCAGCGAGTCTTCACTGTGACTATGGACAACCTGGAAACTGGGGGCTCTGATATCTACTGGTGTTGTGTGGAGGTCACTGGTACAGATGTTGGAGATCAAGTTTACCTGTCAGTCACTGAGGGTAAGATGTCTGTACTGCAGACTGTAGCCAATGAGATGCACAGTATGTAACATGTCACTCGGATAGAAAGGAAGGACATAAGGGGAAAATTATTTAGAAAATATTATATTTAAATGTTTTAAAACTTCATTAATATTTAAGTGGGACCAAATTTTAGTTTAATTTTAGTACCTGCACCACACTGGTGTCAGACCTGAGGATAAAGGTGACAGAGCTCAGCAGGGAGCGGCATGACGTGGGGACACGGCCGACCGCGGTGAAGACCCCCCTATAGCTGCCCCAGTACAATGGGAAATGGCCCCTGGAACCCTCCCTCATACAGGTCCGGCTGGTGGTGCTGACCTGTATAAGGTAAATTTTCATTTAGCTGCTTGGCTGGAAGACATAACTCACTTCCTAAAGCTAGAAGAGATTAAATGTAGGCTGAGGGGTCTGTGAAAAAGCTCTACTCCAGATGGGAACCTTTCTTGTCATACTGTGACATGTTGCGTATATTAGAATTAGGTGATCAGTGTTAACACACCACAGCACACAGCGTGCAACAACGAAATGTGTCCTCTGTATTCAACCCGTATGTGACTTTCGTGACATACTGTAGCAGGGGGCAGCTAGTTCAGTGCCCGGGAAGCAGTGCTTGGGGGCAGAGATACCTCAGTGGTGCCTTGTGGGTCGGGGATTCAAACCAGCAATCTTTCAATTACAAGTGCGCTTCCCTAACCATCATGCCACCACTGCCTACAGTGCCCACCACTGCCCATATGTGTGCCTGTGTTGGGGTTTGGCAGTGACGTTGTACATTTTTATTTGTGAAATGTTGTGTTATGAACTCATCAGCTGTAGAGGTGCACCGATCTGATATTTGGATCAGCACACACACTGCTTTTAGTGATGGAGGCAGAGAGAACTAAACATTCAAAAGTGCAATTATATTTCACTGGAGTCAATGCTGGCAATGACGAAGTAACAAGTCTTTTGCGTGTAAGAGTAAAAACAACAGTAATCTGTCGAAACATCTAGCAAAAGTCCATCACATACATACGGAGAAATGCACAGTTTTCGACTGCCTAGCTCATAGGTTATCTGGCATTGCCCCAGCTATGTTACGTTTGCTAGCAGGCAGGAGCCCACACACGGTGTTAAATTATACAAATATGGATTATTGGTTAAAAGTAACTATTAGCCAGCTTATTTTTAAAAATAATTCAGCATATACAATATACATGAGTGTGTGTGTGTGTGTGTGTGTGTCTGTTACATTCTGTTACAAAGTATTTCAGTCATGTATTTAAGCCTGATATTTCCATAAACATAACACAATAATCTTAGTCCCCCCCCCCTCCCCCCACAGAGAGACATACCGTTTATTAAACACTGGTATCAGATTTAGTTTTGATCAATACCATAAATGAGACCTGGAGAAGTAAGAGGGTCAGTTCAGGAGGTTAAATATAAAGTAATATGTTAAGGAATGTCCTTTAATGTAAGTTAATCTACAAAAAAATGCAAAGCATAAATACATAAATTAACGTACCACAAAAGAGCATCAGTTTGGCTGTCAGTTCCTGTTGTTTGGCATATATATGTACATTTAAATAATTGTAAGCAGGCAAAGTAGAGTTTTGTGAGCTAATGTTATACTAACTGATCAGTTAATCATTCATTAAACTTTTATTTTTGCAAATTCGGTGAAATAAAACACTTCAGTAATCTACATAGTGAAGTACTGCAACCTATAGTGGACTGGTACTGACTTTGTGAATATGTGTATATGGTATAAGAGGGAGTGAGAGTTAATCAGCTGGGTAATTTTCATACTGTCCCTGCAGCTGTGTCCACGATGAGCACGGTGTTTGTACAGAGTGGAGGATCTGTCACCATCCCATGTTTCTATAGCAACATGTATCAACATCAGGAGAAATACTGGTGCAATGGGAGTGACTGGAGTTCATGTACTCCTATAGTACGCACTAATAGCCCAAAGAAAAGTGCTGAAGTGTCAATCAGAGATGATCCTGGCCAGCGACTCTTCACTGTGATCATGAACAATCTGAAAATTGTGGACTCTGGTTACTACTGGTGTGGTGTGGAGATCATCGGAGGTTCAGCTGTGGGAACACGGGTTTCCCTGTCAGTCACTGAGGGTAAGATGTCTGTACTGCAGACTGCATGAAATGCATAGTATGTAATGTCANCCTGTCAGTCACTGAGGGTAAGATGTCTGTACTGCAGACTGCATGAAATGCATAGTATGTAATGTCATTCAGTCAGAAAGAAATGACATTAACACAAACACAGGAGAACCTATTTTAATATATAAAAGAGATCAAGTTATAGTTTTGATCAATACCTGAGCTTGGTGATTTTCATTCTGTCCCTGCAGGTGTGTTCACACTGAACACGGTGACTGTAGAGAGAGGAGGATCTGTCACCATCCCATGTTTCTATGACAACAAATATCGACAGTATGTGAAATACTGGTGCAAAGGGAGTGACTTGAGTTCATGTACTCCCATAATACGCACTGACTCTCCAAAGATGAAGGATGAAGTGTCAATCACAAATGATCCTGCTAAGCAAGTCTTCAATGTAACCATGAACAATCTGACAGCTGTAGACTCTGGTTACTACTGGTGTGGTGTGGAGACCAACAGAAGTTCAGCTGTGGGAACACGGGTTTACCTGTCAGTCACAGGTAAGATGTTTGTACTGAAGACTGTAGCCAATGAGATGCACAGTATGTAACATGTCATTCAGTCAGAAAGGACATTAACACAAACACAGAGGTAAATTACCTGTGAAGTTGGCCCCCCATATGTTTCAGATTTCAACCAAAATGGTCTCAATCGTATGTGCTGCGTTTGTGCCGGATTCTGCCTTTAAAATTTTTGTTTGCGCTGTTTTAGTTTGTGAGACATAAATGTTTGTTTACATGGTCACATGACACCAGCGTGAAGTTAGCCCCCCCATTTGCATCTGATTTCCACCAAATCAATCGCAATCATTTCTGCGTCGTTTGTGCCGGTTTGTGCCATTAAAACTGTCCTTTGTGCTGCCTCAGTGGGATATTGCTTATTTACGTGATTGCTGTATAGTGCTCAGGCTCATGTTTCTCATGTTAACAGAAGGTGGAGCATTTGATGACTCCGCGACAAAGCTGTACGTAGACTCAGCCCCGCCAGCCAGATACCGCGTTTCAAAATCGTGCCAAATAAAACGGTTAACACCCATATGCGTTTCGTATGTAGCACTTTGTATTCATTTTATGCTGCTATTTAATAAGGGGGCGCTGTATTTTCATGTGAGCAATGCCATTTTAGAAATGGGGTGGGGGTTCATATTTTTGAGGTCTATATCTGTGCATTATCTATACACACACACACACACACACATACGTATTCAGACATACATATTTTTCCGCTATATTTTTACAAAGGCAGTAAAACTTCATTATTGGACATTTTTATTTAACCGCCAGAGGGTCCATGGGAAGGTAAAGACATCACAATACACAGTCACAGTGCAGGCAAAATGACAAGAGTTTATTATACATTCTTGTACAGTATTAAGTATTAACTGGTCGCGTTTGGTGCTGGGGCGTTCACTACCTTGTAGCAAAACGCTATGTATGTCTGCAAGAGTCCTGCACCGGGTCGGGTACCCGTAGATAGTTGCTGAAACGGGCGGATTTTAATGTTCTGGAATTTTACAGGCGGGTATGTGGACGGGGAATTTATTACACACGGGCAGGTAGCAGGTCAATCAAAACAGTATTGTAGCCTGCAAAAATAACATATAAGCGAAAATATCTATGTATTAGACTATCATGTACAAATTGTCATCATCACAATGTGTTCAGTATGTCGGGGGTACCTTACGGTCATGGGTGTCGCTAGGCCATTTTTAGGAGGGCTTTAGCCCCCATAACATTTGCACTCAGCCCCCCTAAAAATTCTCCATAAACTTTACACAAATTGGTGATCGCCCACGTCCCCTTTAAATTTCATATGAAAACGGCGACACATTATACACATAGTTATAAATGTACAGTAACTGCACGTGTTCGATTTAGAGAATACCATATCATGACCGTAAACAATATCCTAGCATGCAATATCAGATTTATACCAGACTTCTTAGTGTCTTTGTTTGTAGTTTGTTTGCCTCTCGAAAAAAGAATATTGTTATGAATGTGCTAAAATATTTTATAAAGCTTTTAATGTGGTTTGACTAGTTTGTGTTTATTGTTTGTTTGTCTCTCGGAAAAATCTCCAAATCTGCTAAAATATAAAGCAACAACACACAGCAGCGTGTTCATGGAGGCAGCCATATTTGTTCCGAGATGGGAGATTGATGTCACTCAACTTGGAATTTCCGAATTCCGAGAGAAAAACGAACGCACCATTAGATAACCGCCTCAACAAACATACACGTCTGAATCCTTGCTGAAGCGTGTCATCGTGTTCTCCATTTCACACTCGTCACAGTATGGATAGCTTAGATCTATCTGATTTGATTTTGTGTTAAACGGACTTTTTCGTTTCAATTCAAAATTCAAACGCTCCACCTTCGGTGAACATGAGAAACACGAGCCTGAGCACTATACAGCGATCACGTAAAGGCATAAACTAAGAGGTATAACTCAGAAAAATAACAGTACAGACAATTTTTAAATGGCACAAACTATTGAGACGGTTCAGAGGCAAATGGGGGACTAGTGGTGTAGATTTGAGTAGTAACGAGTAAGTAAGTAACGAATACCAGGCTGTAATGAATCGCTACGAGTATTCAGCTGTTCAAGGATTCGTTGCTGGTATTAACGAAATGACTGATCAAACCGCCCAATCGGCACTCGCTGTCACGCCCAGCTCCGTCCGATCCTAATGTGTGCCACGCCCACCTCGTTACCTCCTGTTTCTGCCTGATTGTTCTCACCTGTTGCTCGTTACCCTTAGCTTGTCTTGTGTATTTAGTCCTCGTCTGAGTCAGTCTTCCCCAGACTTGTCATTGACGTTTGTACGTGTGCTTCCCCCGGTTCTGTCTACTAATAAAACACAGTTTATTCGACTTCCTGGCTTGCTTGCCTGCTTCACCGCTCTCCTGCAGCCTGTGACGTAACACTCGCCATGTAGACTGTTATTTGCAACAGTTCTGGCTGGCATGCACTTACAGCTGGTTTCCATTATCTGAAGCCTGCGTTCATTGCCTGCATGTTGTATGGCCCACATACGAGTCTGACGGGGGGGGGCTGGGTCACTGCACTGACTGGCTGGGGTAATTATAGTCGCCCATCGCCGTTCAAATGACATAAGATATGCGTACGTCTGAAGTTCATTGTAGTAACTAATATTGGGTAATGAGTATTAAGTAACGAATACTGGACTGCTGAGTACTTGGTAGTATCAATAAATTTATCAATTAATAAAAGTAATGGATAACCACATCACTATGGGGGACTAACTTAATGGTGGAATCATGTGACCATGTAAATACGCAATATCTCTGCACTGAAGCAACACAAAGGACAATTTTAACGGCACAAACGCAGCACACACGATTGCAATCGGTCTGGTGGAAATCAGATGACGTCACCATGTGAACAAACATTTATATCTCAGAAACTTAAACAAAACAAACAAAAATTTTAACGGCAGAATCCGGCACAAATGCGGCACATACTGTACGATTGAGACCAGTTTGGTTGAAATCTGAAACATATGGGGGGGCAACTTCACGCAGGTGAGAAACTTAATTTACTGTCAGTTACTGATGTTTCATGGCTATAATTTCAAGTGTCTGGATAAATGTACAGGAAGATCAACTTGCATAACAGCATTACCTCTGAGGGAGACATCCCATAATACAGCCTGATGACCTCATTCGATACAGGTTCTGCTCTTTATCAAATACATGAGCATCTGCTCTGTGTCTTACACCTGGGGGCTGTACAGAGGCCTCAGGATTCACCTATTTCTAGATTATGATACATGTACATTTGTATAATTTGACAAGTATTACAGATCTGACTATTGTCTCAATCAGACACACAGTCAATTGCCTGTAATGTATTATGAAAGACATCAGCTTACTGGAAATGGACAAACAGCCATATTCATCTTACAGCAGTTTATAATGTGTACAAATCCAGTTTGGCAAACATGAAATGTATGTTTTCACTGTCATACATTAAAAACTGTTGTTTTTTTTTCTTTTCCTTTTTTCAGACATTTATAGGGATTAATTAGGTGTACAGGCTGGGTGATTGTCTGCAGGTAGTTTCTAACTGCAGCAAAGGCCAGTGTTACAGCTGCACTCTGTAATAACTGATCCAGTTCTGCCATAAATATATTGTGATATATTAATAACATCATTTATCTCACCTGTCCACTATCTCTAGTGGCACCCTGTGAACAGGGTTGTTTATTTTTTTATGTAACAGTCCTTTCTCTTGTTTCCACTGCTGTCCATTTTTGGCACATGATGAAGAAGGATGGATTATTGAAAAACAGAGGTAAGCATTCAGCAGCACTTACAGCAGTGTGGTGTCCAGCTATGAGCATCTACCTGATCAGACAGTGATGGGAAATTTCTGTTATTTTATGGGAACATTGTTTTTCTTTGTTTCATAATTATAATTTCCCTGTGATGGCATCACATCCAGGGTGAAAATGGATGGATGGATGGACGGATTTTACAAAACAATATAACATGCTTAATAATCACAGTAATACTGACAGTTAAAATTCTACAGCTATTTTTATATTCTTTGTTAATGTCTCCTGTTCCTCACATGTATCCTGTGTAATAGTACAGATGTGGCTGTAGTATGTTGCTATAAAGCATGTAAGACTTTACTGTTCAAATCCACCCTCTCATTCAGCTCCTTGGTGTAGCTTGTTTCTGTATGTAGGACTGGGCTTATCGGTGCTGCTGTTGATCATCATCATCATCATCACATGGAAAGTGTGTGACAAACACAGTGAGTATCTGCTGATTCAGACTCTGTATAAGTGACCTGACTGTCTGAGCAGTGATGCATGTCCCTCTGCACTCCTGTAAGCAGCAGCTACAACTTCATGCTTTTATCCTTTTCCAAAGACGGCTGGACAGAGACACAGACAGCAGCATTCAGACACACAGGTTATACAGTAACATTAAAACACAAAACATGGTCACAGTCCCTTTGGGAACACAGACTAAAAACAGTGCAGAGCTAAAAAACCGCTGTGGGGCAAACAGGACATCAGAACACAGGAGCCCTGAAGGATCCTTCCTCCATGATCCTGCAGGCTTTCCTCTGACCCTCAGAGTCTGTGTCCACCCAGCTGAGCTTATAAAACCCTAAACAAGTTAGTTATTCCAACCAGGGCCAGCTGGGCATCATTAACTGGGTTACCTGTAAGTGTAGGTTGGTAATCAGATTTCACCTGAAATGCCAATGGCTCATATACATTTGTGTAGTTTTATACAGTTGTTAGACTGGGTAACATTTACACACATATGTACATGATAACCAGGAGGAAATGACCATGTGTTTGTCATAAAGCAAATTAATAGAATCAGCTGAAAGTGGGTAATGTGATCATAATAAATTCCTTTGACTTTATTTCTCATTTCTTTCCTTGTAGAGAAAAAAAGGGCCATGAACCAAAATCCAGGAAGTACAGAATTAACAGTGAGTTCATGTTTAATATGGGGGGACACTCTGGAAGATTCTGCAAGGTTTTGTATTTTCTAAAAACAAAAACCAAAACCAAACTGTTAACAGCCAGTAACCCATTGAGAAGTTTATCTCTGTAAATAAAGCTGATGTGAGGAGTGACTGTTTTGAACGCTGAGTTGTGACTTTTTTCTAGTTGAACCCAGAACATGAATTTGCTGTCATAGACAGAACTGGCATCATAAAGGGAGACCCGCTAGAGCAGGTAAAGCACAGAAATAACATACATATGATGGTGTTTATGAGTGTAGCTCCTGTCTGTAAACATGTCATGTTATTAGTGTGTAACAAGACTGCATTTTATGGCTTATTTTATAAGCCAGTTGTCAAATTGTAATTAAAGTCTCTACATGGAAAAAAGAACAAGCATTTGACAGCACATGTAGAAGTACAAATCATTAACTGATGCACAAAATTATTACAAAATTCACTAACAATTATATTTGATTGCTGTCAGTTTAAGAATGGACAGGTAGTTCTGTAGAGATACATGATCATAATGTGTTCCAGGCCTCTGACACACCACAATGAGAGTAAAACATGTATCAATAATGTCCTCACTAGGTAGATACATCTACAACTCAACTGATCTGTCACATCCATGTGTAGCAGAATCAGATGTAATATACCATGAAGTCCCATGATACCCTGGAGTTTATGGATTTATGGTTTTTGTACAAAGGTTGGTCTTGTACCTCCACTGTAAACAGTTATATACTCTCAGCAGGTGTCCTCTAGATGTTCTTCTCACCATTCTGTTGTAAGCTCATCCAAGAGTGTGGTCTACAGCTCATTCACCCTGAAGCACATAGAGGTGAGTTTGGACAATCTGCTCTAATATGAACTGTGATAAATTTAATTTGTGATGCTTCATACATGTTGTATGTTTCATTTGACACTGTATACAGCCATGATACCAACATCATACATGTAGTTTATTTGGCTTCAAATTAAAAGCTAGATGAAAGTGAATTAAACAGACTTCCCAGAGTCTGATTTCCTGTTCCTGTAGCAGTAACATTACCACACCATACTGCCTGAAATGCTAAGGAAGGTGTTACTGCCTCAGCCTGAACTGATGAATCAAGTAGCCGATGTTAATGCTTATCTGTTCCTTTTCCAGTAGGGGGCAGCAACACTGAGCTGCTGTTCAGCATGACAGCTGTGAGGGACACACAGAAACTGTAGTGATGACTTTGCAGTGTCTGCAAAGTAAAAAACACAAACAAAAGAAAAAGCAGAAACAAAATAAAAATGCGCTGCAAATTAAAAAACACAAAAGAAAATCTTGAATTGCAGCGGATTTTCATTTTGTTTCTGCTTTTTCTTTTGTTTGTCTTTTTTGAATTTCAGCGCATTTTCATTTTGTTTCTGCTTTTTCTTTTGTTTGTGTTTTGTCTCTAGGGGCCACCGTGATGATCACCAGAGAGGAGCATCTTACAGTGATGTCAGCTGTATTTAAATGGCATGCAGCACTGTCACGTTCCAGTGTGACAGTAAGAATCAGCTGGTGTGAAACACACATTCATGGCTGTTGTGCCTTTGAACCACAGTCAATGTGCTATTTGCCTCATTTATACATTGCTTTGGACAAAATAGAAAAAAATCTATTTTCTTGGCGTTTTGTGAATTGTTGCTTTTCATTCATACAAACTGAAAAAATATCAATGGCTATCCTGTTTAATTAGTATAAAATAAAATATCTGTTACCACAATATACATTATTTTGATGTATTTCCCAGTGTCTGTTTGTCTCTTGTGTATATACAGTATGTACCAGTGGGGGTTTACTGAGGTCTAAGGACTCTGGCTTTAATTTTAAACTCTTCTTATGCACTTCACTGCCCCCTGCTGGAGCAGCTTCACTATTTTGCTGCTTCCCTGCTCTCCTCTGACTGTGGGATTAAAAGCTGCCCTGTTGCTGTTATATTATGTATCAGTATGTATCTGACTTGCACAGTATTTGTTTCATACATAACATTAATAAAAATGCCTTTCATCAAGTCTGCAGGCTGCAATGGTGTCTCAGTGTGTAACACAGATGATTTTTGTCTTTCAGGTGTTTGGATTTGAATCCTGGCTCTCAGTCTGTCATTTTGTAGGTTTTCTCCAAATCCTATGGTTACCTCCCTTAGTGTGGAAATAAATGTCTGTGGCAGTCAGAAACAATAAACTGCCTGTATGTAATGAACTGGCATCTCATCCAGGGTGTCCCCTGATTTGTGTCCCGTACTTCCTGGGATGTGCACCAGGCTGACTTTGACCCCATCCTTGGTAAGAGGACAAAACCCGTAAAAGAGAGGCAGTGACGAAATGGAGAATCAGGAAGTGAGGGTCAGTCTCCACAGATCTGAGACACACATAAGGGTCCTCTCATGCTTCTCTTTATCCTCTTATTCACTGATGGGCACCCAGGTGAGGATCACTTACTCTGGGACAGGCTCTCACTCCATGGGGCTGTCATCACGTGACAGCCCCATAAGCTTAACCTATGCAGTCTGAGCCGGAAACAGAATTGATTAAAAAAACAAAACAAGTATGTCTGATACTTGATTTGATCTCTGATAGTAATTTCAGCATCATATGGGCAAAATTTAAAGAATAACCAACTCTTTATTACCTTTTAGTACATTCAGTGTTATGGAAAAGAACCATCGTGACAGAAATTCACACATTAATAAACTACAAAGTAATAATAATAATAATAACAATAATAATTATTAATAATAATAATAAACTATGCACCCGTTTGTAAGGAAGGTTGTAAATTAGTAACTAATTTCTATATCCAGTGCTGTCACGTCACATAACATAAGAATGAATGACTCAAAAGACTCGAGGAATGAACTAATCAATTCTCTTTCCGGCTCAGACTGCATAGGTTAAGCTTATGGGGCTGTCACGTGATGAACGAACAACTGAAACCCGAAGACTCGAGAGATGAACTAATCAATTCTGTTTCCGGCTCCTTCTGCTGTGGCCAACATTGCCTCTCTTGAGCATCGACTGGGATTGGCTGTCATGGCATCACTTTTAAGGGTGGATATACACTCACCTAAAGGATTATTAGGAACACCATACTAATACGGTGTCTGACCCCCTTTCGCCTTCAGAACTGCTTTAATTTTATGTGGCATTGATTCAACAAGGTGCTGAAAGCATTCTTTAGAAATGTTGGCCCATATTGATAGGATAGCATCTTGCAGTTGATGGAGATTTGTGGGATGCACATCCAGGGCACGAAGCTCCCGTTCCACCACATCCCAAAGATGCTCTATTGGGTTGAGATCTGGTGACTGTGGGGGCCATTTTAGTACAGTGAACTCATTGTCATGTTCAAGAAACCAATTTGAAATGATTCGAGCTTAGTGACATGATACATTATCCTGTTGGAAGTAGCCATCAGAGGATGGGTACATGGTGGTCATAAAGGGATGGACATGGTCAGAAACAATGCTCAGGTAGGCCGTGGCATTTAAATGATGCCCAATTGGGACTAAGGGGCCTAAAGTGTGCCAAGAAAACATCCCCCACCCCATTACACCACCACCACCAGCCTGCACAGTGGTAACAAGGCATGATGGATCCATGTTCTCATTCTGTTTACGCCAAATTCTGACTCTACCATTTGAATGTCTCAACAGAAATCGAGGCTCATCAGACCAGGCAACATTTTTCCAGTCTTCAACTGTCCAATTTTGGTGAGCTCGTGCAAATTGTAGCCTCTTTTTCCTATTTGTAGTGGAGATGAGTGGTACCCGGTGGGGTCTTCTGCTGTTGTAGCCCATCCGCCTCAAGGTTGTGCGTGTTGTGGCTTCACAAATGCTTTGCTGCATACCTCGGTTGGAACGAGTGGTTATTTCAGTCAAAGTTGCTCTTCTATCAGCTTGAATCAGTCGGCCCATTCTCCTCTGACCTCTAGCATCAACAAGGCATTTTCGCCCACAGGACTGCCGCATACTGGATGTTTTTCCCTTTTCACACCATTCTTTGTAAACCCTAGAAATGGTTGTGCGTGAAAATCCCAGTAACTGAGCAGATTGTGAAATACTCAGACCGACCCGTCTGGCACCAACAACCATGCCACGCTCAAAATTGCTTAAATCACCTTTCTTTCCCATTCTGACATTCAGTTTGGAGTTCAGGAGATTGTCTTGACCAGGACCACACCCCTAAATGCATTGAAGCAACTGCCATGTGATTGGTTGATTAGATAATTGCATTAATGAGAAATTGAACAGGTGTTCCTAATAATCCTTTAGGTGAGTGCAGGTTATCATGAAATTATTTTCGGAACTCTAATTTCCCACAAATAGCATTTCCTAATAAATAATCATATATATGGATAAGTACATATATGCATAAACAAATAAGTTGATTAATTGAAATAATAATCCAGTTACAGAAAAACAAGAACAAAAAATCCCCGTACTGAATAAATCAATAGGCTAAAACATAATAAATAATGTTTGTTTATAAATAATCTGTATTCACATGTATTATGTTGATAACAACAATGTTGATATTTGTAAATAAAAGTATATTTCCTGCACCTGTCATAGACATCCACATGACGTCCAAAAAAATTACGTTCAAATGTTGAATGTCATATTGAAGTACAAGTTGGGTCATGGATGGACGTTCAAATTGTGGACCTAGTTTGGACGTTGTATAGATGTCCAGAATTGGTCATGGACTGAGAGACCCAATATAGACATGATCTGCACATCTATCCGACGTCCAATGTTTAGCGGTTTAGAGCTAATTTTGATTAAAATTTATAACTATAGACACTAGGGGTGCGACGGTACAGGTATCCCACGGTACGGTACGTACCTCGGTATTTGGGCCACGGTTTCAGTTCGGTTTAAACACAACACTACAAATAATAACACAACAAAACTAATAAACTGCCTCCTATTTATATATAAAATATGTATACATGTATAAAATTCAAACTCAAAATGTAAACAAAGACACTTTTAAAAATGTTAAAGTACCTCTTAAAGTGCTCTAAACACTATATTCCACTCGAAGCTCTGTGCTTGAGCCAAATCGTTTTTGATGCCTTTGCGCGCTTTGTCATAGAGGTCAGGAATTATAACGTCGCTGAAAAGTGTACGGCAGGGCACAACATAACGTAGGTCGAGTGCTTTAATTAAGTGGCGAAACCTCGTATCTTCGACAACAGAAAAGGGCTGCAAATCTTTAGCAATGAATGTTCCCACTACACAGGTTATTTTCTTATGTTTGTCGGATGTGGCAGGGTATGTCTGTTGAAAAGCTTTTTCGATAGACATTTGTTTATCCACAGTTACCTTTTCGCCTGTCCTCCGTTCAGGAACCGTTATATCAGCATGACTACGCTTGAGATGCTTAGCCATATTGCTCGTGTTTTCATTAGCGTATGGGACACGTGTTAGGCAATGTTTACAAACAGTGACATTTCTATTAACTGTTTTGACTCCCTGGTCGTTGTATTCTACAGCGAACCTGAAAAAATTCCATACTCGAGATTTGTATGAATTAAGCCGGTGCTTCTTCAAACTTCTGCCTCTCAACTGTTCCGCTTGTGCTGGCCATGCTTGTTTGTTATTCTTTTTTTCCGCGTCTGTGTACCTATCGAGTTGCGAGCTCAGTTCCAGTGCACATCAGTGTGAGAGGGCGAGTGGGTGGAGCCACAACAGTGATTGGACATTAACTCACGATGGAGGGCTTTCGCTCATTGGCGCTTACTGCTTAAAAGTAGCCTGATAAGCATTAAGCACCATTTTCAAAAGGAAGTGCAAAACCGAAATACCGCGGTACACAAGGGTGTACCGGACTGTGCAGCACGTACCGAATGGTCCGGTATTTTACCAAGTACCGTTGCATCCCTAATATAAACTAGGTATATCATAGTGCATGCAAACAAATACCAAAAATGAATAAATAACCCAAAACATACTAGTCTATATATTTAAAAATATGATTCATGCTATTAAAGTAACTGATGGCAGTTAGACTCCCACCAAAATCCTGTGTGATTTTTAAGTATCTTAATGGGAAAATATATTAACTTTGCTATGAATGATATTTGTCATCTTTCATACTCTTCTTTCATTATTTATTTAAGATCAGCTACAGATCCAGACTAAAAATGACAGAGAGTAAGTGCAAATACAGTCCCTCAATCTGCCTCCATTAGTGTGACAGTCTTCTGAACAGGGCGTTCAAGGTAAGTAGGCTTGGAAGTACGTCTACCCTTTGGATCAAGTGTAGGATCGCTGATCAACAGCTTCAGCTTCCTCACTCTTCCATCCCATCCTTGTAGCACTTCAGTGACCTTGGCCAACTTCCACTGGCTGCGTGGAGCCATGTCATCCAGTAGAAGAACAATGTCATTAACCCGTGCATTTCTTTGGTCTTTGGTCCACTTCTGCCGACACTGAGGAATCCAGAGGTATTCCTTCTTCCATCGCATCCAGAAATTGTTGGCCAAAAACTGAACCCGACGCCATCTTTTACAAAGATAAAGGTCTTCCCTAACAAATCGTCCAGGAGGAGAAGATATGATTTGGAGTCATGTGCTCTGGGCAACATGCATCACAGAGATAATCAGTGGTTAAAGGCCTGCTGTTAATAACAGCCATGACTTCATACAGGAATGTCCTGAGAGAGGAGCAGTCAAGTTGTGTGGATGACTGTTCCAGAATAGATGTTAAGACACTTCTGATGGTGTGAATTTGCCTTTCCCAAACACCACCCATATGACTTGAAGCTGGCATGTTCATGATAAACTCACATCCTTCTTCCCTGAAGTCCTCTTTCTTCATTTCACCTAATGCCTCAGCAAACTCTCTTCTAGCACCAACAAAGTTTGTACAGTACCTTGGTCGCATCTTAACTGACGAATTGGTCCGCGAATGGAAATGGCAGCGCGTAGTGCATTAATGAAGGAGTGAGTGAAAAGATCATCAAGCATCTCAATGTGCACTGCTCTAGAAGCCATACAGGTAAGCAC